GATACACTAGTTTGTATCATTAAGCGTCGAATATGTCGATATTTGCTGGTTTCATTAAGCGTAGGTGTTGCACTGCATTTGTGACGCTTAATGATATAATTCTGTCATTAAGCGGCGATTTAGCATTAGCGGTTGATAATGTCAGCTATTAATGCAATAATTTATGGCATTAAGCGTTGCAATTGCAACGCTTAATGCTATTTGTATCATTAAGCGGCGTTTTATCATTAGAGGTTGCTACAGTGCTTCACTGTTGCAGAATTAATAGAGTTACATGGTAAATTAAAGAATTTGAAAACAATGACATTCTTATTCAAGCTATATTTGTACAATTGTTCGCAAACTAGGTGTTAAGTGTTATGGATATGTTTTTTGAATGGAGTAGATGCTACAAACCGTGTTTGAAATTAAGAAATTTAGTATAATTTTGACAAACTTTCTCAACGCTGTCTTTGACGTTACAATGTTGGTTAACCGTGCTCCGTGGTAACAAAACATGTTGGTTTAAATTTTTGATAACATGAGTTCTATTTAATCAAATGGAATGAAACTTCACACTTCGACAAAATAAATGTTTATGTTTACGAAAATGTGTTGATCTATAATCTTGTAATAATTATATAACGATGAGACGCATTGTCTACGTATTTTTTGAATGACCCTCGTACTGCTGTTTGACTCGGTAAAATATACATAGACTAATATCAAGGGTGACGTCATAAAAGTTTTTTAATCATATGGAATGCCGGGCGTGTATTTTAGTGAGTTAGTGCTCATAAGACTTCTAGTTGTGATAACAGAAGCCAGCTGGCGCCTTAATTTTAGAGGCCTGTCTTAATTGTATTAATTTTCGACTGTTTGGCAAGACCATGGCACTTGAAAACAGAGGCCTTTTTTAATCTATATCACATCAGTTATATTTTTATCACACTAGTTCTATTTTCTGATACAAAGTGTATAATGTCTCAGTAAATAGCATTAAAAAAATCCTTTACTCCCTTTCAATAGAAGCAATTTTTTTGCCGTTGAAAGGTAAACACAAAATTGCAAATGTAGTTGTCTTTGGTAAACTGTAGTAGTAGCATATTTGTATTCAATGTTCGTTGTATACATTTACATGTCGAACAAGCAAATTGGCTTGTTACGTTGAAGAATTAGGATATTTTTATTGAAATACCAAGCAAAATAAATACACTGACAGTGTGTAACAAAAAAGCAATGGTTATGTTAAAGTACAGATATTAATTATGATTGGTAGTATTTAGAAAAGACTTGAACTGTATTCCACCATTCAAGGTTGCTCAGGAGGTAAAGCGCTCACTCCCTGAGTTTGAATCTCGCCTGCGATTGACGTAAGTCGATAAACAAGAGGCCCAGGGGAAACAGCGCTCACCTGAGCACATCGGGCTTGAATTTACTCCCACCCCCCTCCAAGCGTTCATCATTTGAACAAACTAGAATCTACACTACCTGAGGATGATTCCATATAAAGATCACTAATCATAGCTTTGAAGTACTTGAAAAGAAGATTTTAAAAGGTTTCCCTATCTATCCCAATGGAAAACTTGGGTCGGCCATTTTGGCCCCACCCTAGCCCCGGGGTCATGATTTGAACAAACTTGAATCTACACTACCTGAAGATGATTCCACATGAGTCTCACCTTTCCTGGCCCAGTGGTTCTTGAGATGGATTTTTAAAGATATTTCCTATACACGTATATTCCTATGTAAAACTGTAAAAAAGAAGATTTTTAAAGATTTTTCCTATATACTCCTATGTAAAACTTGGGTCGGCCATTTTGGCCCCACCCTTGCCCCAGAGGTCATGATTTGAACAAACTTGAATCTACACTACCTGAGGATGATTCCACATGAGTTTCATCTTTCCTGGCCCTGTGGTTCTGGAGAGGAAGATTTTTAAAGATTTTTCTTATACATTCCTATGTAAAATTAGGGTCGGCCATTTTGGCCCCACCCTTGCCCCGGAGGTCATGATTTGAACAAACTTGAATCTACACTACCTGAGGATGCTTCCACATGAGTTTCATCTTTCCTGTCCCAGTGGTTCTTGAGAAGAAGATTTTAAAAGATTTTTCCTATATATTCCTATGTAAAACTAGGGTCGGCCATTTTGGCCCCACCCTTGCTCCGGGAGTCATGATTTGAACAAACATGAATCTACACTACCTGAGGATGCTTCCAAATGAGATTCATCTTTCCTGGCCCAGCGGTTGTGGAGAAGAAGATTTTTTAAAAATGCCTTTAATTTTTAACAAATTCATGATTTTCTCCCCTTGAAAAAGGGCGTGGCCCTTCATTTGAACAAACTTGAATCCCCTTCACCCAAGGATACTTTGTGCCAAGTTTGGTTGAAATAGGCCTAGTGGTTCTTGAGAAGAAGATGAAAATGTGAAAAGTTTACAACAATGACGACAACGACAGACAACAGACAAATTGTGATCAGAAAAGCTCACTTGAGCCTTTGGCTCAGGTGAGCTAAAAATGGGTAGGAAATGTCCCTTCACAATGCACTCGGTACTTGAAGTGAAGCTGTGGGTCCTCGAGTGAGGCCTTAAAAAACAAGGTCCTCTGTCACTTCAGGCGTTGGCACGATAAAGATCCAACACTGTTCAATTGCCCTGAGAGCCGAGTAAAGGCCAAAATTATCTATATGAATGAAATATTCTGGAACAGGTTGTTCAACAACACACAATTAATCAATCAATACTATATCTCTCACATCGTCTTTACTGATATCGGAATCTTGACTTTAGCTGATATTCTTAAAAATTGAGGAGTAAATTTAACATAGAAAATAGAATGAAAATGGTTTATTTTGGCCTCGCTCGCAATTTATTTACTCTGACGACAACAACGACGACAGACAACGGACAAATTTTGATCAGAAAAGCTCACTTGAGGCTTCGGCTCAGATGAGCTAAATATATTAATTTTATTGGGATTTCGATATATAAAATCCCCACAAGATACCTCAAAGCCACGTCTTGTCGTAGTCGCTACCGTGATGCTACGATACATTTCAATGGATATTTAAACGAACAACGTAACAAAATAATAATATGTGCGGATCTAGTAGGGATCAAAGGCGGAGGGGGACTTTGCGAAGACCTATGCCCCCCTCCCCAAACCTCCGGAATATATAATATAAATCCGGGTCCAAAGATATTTTTTAGCTTTCTTTCATTTATAACTACAATTTACAACATACAAAATTGATACCCGCAGTTAAAAAGTTAGAGGTGATTTAAGATACTACGGGTGTGATTTTTTTTTTTAATAAAAAGTGATTTCTATGTACTTTTGGATTTTTCATATGAAATACATGTGCACTGTACATATGTATTAGACGGTTAATTTATGAAAGCTAGAAGACAAATATGAGTATACGTTTACTTATTATTCACACTTTTTAAAGTCCGGTATCTTTTTGTCGGTATTCTGGAATAAATTTTTTTTTTGTTTTACAACAGGATGGTGAATATATATTTTTCCTTACAAAGGAAGCAAGTTATAAAATTTCGGTTATAGTTTTTATATGTATATTGAACCTTCGGTCAAAATAACTCTGTGTTTGGTCAAAAATATAAAGCGTATCTTCTTATTTTATACTTTGACGATTAATGCATGTATGGCTTACATAACTTACTAAGAAAAATGCACCACCCTAAATAAATGCATATTTTCAGCCTTTTTTATAATCGACACATATAAACAGATGTACATGTACACGCGGTCGTATTTAGGAACGTGGTTGAGGGGTTGAGGATACCCCCCCCCCCATAATGAAGTCGATAAATAAACAATGTACATGTAATATTATAGAAATTTTAGTTACTGTATACTTGTGCCCCCTCAATAAAATCTTCCTTTTTGGTTTTTGGAATTGTTTGGTAGTGACTTTAAACTAAAAATGTTTGGTTGTGCCCCCCACCCCCACATAAAATTGCTTGCTTCAGGCCTGTTGCATTTATATACATGTATACATGTACATGTAAAATAAAAGCAGCCCAAGATAATTTAGTTAAGATCGCCATTTAATACATCATCTAAGCAGTGAAGATACTGTCTACCATGAATGCTCGTTTATTTCATTAAAGTGATATTCTAATAAATTCAAACAAGAATCTCTCTCTCTCTCTCTCTCTCTTTCTCTCTCTCTCTCAATACAAGACACTTCATAAAGCGCACTACATATTTATTTGATTGCACGGATTTCGTTTTTTTTTTTCAAGCTGTAAAAAGTAACCATTCCCTTTCCCTTTTGAACAAGGCGCACACTACGAGTAGTTTGTAAACGTTTAATCACTGACGCATGACAAACGTGTTTCCTAATTCGTCTGAAGTATTATGGTGTATTTTCTTCTATTTGTTCGCTATTTAAAACATTGTAAGTGATTACAAAATAATTGACTTGAGCAATTTCACTTACAAAGTGGTTAAAACACTATCCGTTCTATTTTACACATGTACTTCTTTCTTCCGATTTTAAATTTTATATGGGTGCAATCACTAGTCCCGAGAAAACTTTCGAGATACGGGAAGTTAGGGCGAGTTACGTTCGTTCGAAAGATGTCGGTGTTTCTCTATTATACCGACACAAATTTATATTGTAAAGACCTTTCATAAAAATATTCATTTATAGATTAACTAATAATTATTCTCATAACTGAATAAAATCACAATTTATATTTACTGAAAAACCAGAGGATTACGGACAACCGCGAATGAGCATGACAAGCTTTCGACGGAGGGATAAGCTAAAAAAAAAAACTACCTAACCTGCGAAGATTAAATGTAGCTAATATATAATATCTTATTTAGTTAATATTAAACAAAGTAATCAACGAAACACAGAACAGTTAAGAAGTCTATAAATACATAATCCACGGTTATTTCCAGTGCATGTATTAAATTTGCTACATGTTTATGCCACTACCTTTTCAGCAGATAGTTCTTAAATATGCTAAATAAATACTTACAACGTCCACTGATCTTGTCATGAATCTCCCTGTCAGACACGGTACAGTGTGTGATGATGTCCAGCTTTAGTTTGTCTATGAAGAGGTCGTACATCTTCTCCGGTCCGTACGGTACATACAGACATCTCTCTCCCTCACTCCTTTTATAATTCCAGGACCGGCAGTATTCTGATATCACATCACGTGACGCCGTGGTCAGGAAAAATTCCAGATCACTGTCCTCCACCAGACACTCCGTAACAAAGGCGTACATGACGTCATGTCGGATGTCGTCTGATATAAAGGTTATCACACCGTCACGTGTTTCTGTGATTCCAACAGGGGGATTTACCGAGCCGTCATCTGTAACACCAGGGAAATATCTGTCTCTGATTTTGTCTTTTGTACTGTTTTGTGATTTTTCATTGAGATTCACCTGATATTTCTCAGCTAACAGTAAGCAGTACAAAAAACATCTGACTTCTGGTGAATAGTTATGGTATTTACCTAATGAAAAAAAGCAAAGAATTGAAATCATTTAGAAGAATTAATTACATGTAATCTTTTGTAAAGGCAAAAATCTAAAACTAGTCATTATATTTCAATTCATAACATATTACGATTAAATTTTTTGTTTTATCCGTAGAGTATAGATCTATAAAATCAAAAATGAATATAAACGTGGATATTGTTTGTTTCGTATCCTGTCTTGTATGCACTTTTAAAATCATTTTACTTGGTTTTTTTGTGTTCTACCCGGGTATTCGATTTTTTGATGATCGGAATCAGTGTTAACTTGATAACAGGTTTTATCATTTAGGGTATAATGGAAGCCAAGGTTAATTCAGATGTCTTAAGCACTTGTTTTTTTTTTCTTGCCAAAGTATATGTCTTACATGGAAAGAAACTTTTATTCGATATTCGGTTCGCCGATATATGGCTGAAATATTGCCGATTCGGCGTAAAACATCAATCAATCAATCGATATTCGGTATTTTCTATGTAAAATGTTAATACTTTTTGTAAAGTATTAGATATCAACGGGGCATGGATACTGTTTCAGCTGAAATTTCAAAACTTATTTTTCCATTTTTACAAATATTTAGCTAGGGTCTTTCTAATGATCATCAACAAATTGAACGCCAGTTGCCCAGATACAAGACAGATTTAGAGCCCAAAACATTTGTTATGTAAACAAGGCTAGTGTCATGTTTTTGTTTACACATGTAAAATATACTAAAATATGTTCGATCAAAGTAGATAATTTCAAATAAAAGCTAATTTTAAATACGATGCGACAGTTACTATTGCAGAGGCGTAGTGGCAAACTTAAAAGTGTGTGTGTGTGTGGGGGGGGGTCAACTCCAGAAATTCTTTGACCAGCAAAAAAAAAGGGGGGCATCGGACGGTTTTAATGAAGGGGCACTAGCATGCAGTACCCATGTTTTCTGTAGTGTTCGATATATTGCCAACCCTCCAACCCCCCAATTCCAAAGCCTTAAGGCCAAGTGTGTTATATAAAGAAATATTAAGATCTTCAACATGTAATATCCATGGGCGAATACAGGATATGTAATACGGGGGTATGACATGAAATAATACTAGTCATATCACACTTTGAATGGTGCATGGGGCCTAGCCCCTGGAAGCTCCTGAGTTTCGTGTAATTTAATAGTAAAACCAGAAACAAAAATAGTGGCATTGGTTAGATATGTATCAATGTATGGCATTAATAATATTAATCATATCATACTTTAAAAATTTTAAGGATGTGTATCCCTTACACCCCCTTAAACCAGCTAGCCAAAGTGATATCAAACCCCTGTCTAAGCTGAATGAGAGGATTTCAAATAGTGTTTTTAAAGTTGATTGACATTTATCACAGGTATACCGAAATCAGAATCTCCAATACTGCAGCTATCTTGTAGAAATTACTTATTTTGATGAGATTAGGATTGACTAGAATTCTATAGTACATATATGTAAAAATAAAAGAGTGCTAATGAATCAGCAAAATTAAATAATTAAAAATCCAGAGGTTTGACAAAACTTACTTTGTGACTATGTGTTATACAAGAAATGGGATACAGCAAATAAATAATGACTTTCAGATGTCAACACAAAGGGCAGATTGTGATACTCATTTAATTTTGTTAGATAACAGATGCTGAGTGAAACAGAAACATCTAAACTTAAATCTATGATCCGCACTCCCAATCCCAAACTAGCGAAAACAAGAGGTCTTGACAGATTTAATTATAAATTACTATGTTACATTACTATATTATACAACTATTACTTCAAGAGAAATGCTTATTCAATTGTTGTTGAAAATAAAAAAAAAAATTGCCAGAAAATGAGGATTAATATTATTTCAACATTACTATGATTTTGTTCTACATTAATAAGGGGGGGGGGGGGCACAGACATACTCTTGCCCCCCCCCCCCCCCCCCCCCCCCCCCCCGTGACTTCGTCTATGTATTAATTTGCTGAACTTCATTTTGTTTTAAATATTATATTTTCTATATTATGTAAACAAAAAAATATGAATAATAATATAAACAATATGAAAAACTTTAAGTTCTGTATCTTGTTTGTAAATCAACAAATGATTATCACATTTTTTGCTAATCAATAGATCTATGATGCCTTCGGTTGAAATTGTAAACATTAAAATTTGTTAAAACTAGAAATATGTACAAAGGACATGAATGCCCCGCCAAGGATATATTAGTAAAGCAACATGAACATGAACATTTGTATGTGAATAAAAATGTATGTCAGATCAGATCAGATCAGGTCAGATCCAGCATCCGAAAGAAAGTCTGGTAGTGTCCATATCTCTAGTAGATGCATCATCCATGCAAGTTTGGTTCAGGTAGGGCTTATATAGTTACTTGGGAATGAAAATAAAGGTCAGATCCATCATCCGAAGCAAGTCTGGTAGTCTCCAATCCTAGATGCATCATCCATGCAAGTTTGGTTCAGGTAGGGCTTATATAGTTACTTGGGAATGAAAATAAAGGTCAGATCCAGCATCCGAAGCAAGTGTGGTAGTCTCCAATCCTAGATGCATCATCCATGCAAGTTTGGTTCAGGTAGGGCTTATATAGTTACTTGGGAATGAAAATAAAGGTCAGATCCAGCATCCGAAGCAAGTGTGGTAGTCTCCAATCCTAGATGCATCATCCATGCAAGTTTGGTTCAGGTAGGGCTTATAGTTACTTGGGAATAAAAATGTAGGTCAGATCCAGCATCCGAAGCAAGTCTGGTAGTGTTCATCCCTAGATGCATCATCCTTTCAAGGTTGTATCAACATGTGAAGTTTGATAACACCATCTTGAATGGTATGTTTAAAACTGAGCTAAACACTAATTTAAGGAAAGTGAGGTAAACGTAAAAGGAAAGGTCAAGGTCAAAAAATGTTGATGCAGTTGCATAGCTCTCATCAATTGAAGTTTGATGAAAATATCTTGGATAGTTTCTTTGAAACTTAGTTTTGATCGAACAGATCTAAACGCAAAGTGTGACAGAAGGACAGAAGACGGACATGACCAACACTATATGCCCCGGTCATATTCATGGCGGGGCATAAAAATCAGTTGAAACTGTGTCAAGGTCCCTTTAATAATATTAAAATATTACATATACATGTATATACACTGTGTATACATATAGTGGTGAGATTTTGGTTTCGACTGCCTCCAGATAGGGCTTATTTTTCTTTTCTTTTTTTGGGGGGGGGGGGGGGGTTAAAAGATGCGATAAAAATTTTACTTACTGTAAACGTACTTTTTCCATGGGTCATAACTCCGCGAAATTACTATATCTGTTTAATCAGCGGGTAGAAAATTACAAGTATGTCTTAAACTCTCACAATAAGCCTTATATGCATTTTAAGTACACTACAAATTTCCGCGGAACATTTATGACTGCGTACATAGCGAAAATTAATACCGCTCGGAAAAAAGTACTCCTACAGTAAGAATTTTCTGCGATTTGAAGAATGGGTTGCCCTTCGTTTGAACAAACTTATCCTATTTAGCCATGAATACAATAGGTTAAATTGATCCAGTAATTATGGGGGGAAAGATACATTCGTTATAAAAAGAAGTTTACGACAATCACGACATAAAACGGAAAAGTTCTGATCAGAGTTGAGTTCTCCTTTTAAATGGGATATCTTCTCTTCAGTTGAGCTAAAAGTGGCATTTGTGGGCAATAAAGCTTTTGATTTTTTCATTTGTCATAATGAAGGGATAAGTTTGGCTTTTCCCTGTTTTTTTTTTTTTTTTTTTTTTTTTTTTTTGTGATAACTATGTGTGTTAACATTAATAATTATTATACCTCTACAAGCTGTGTAATTAATTTTTATATTAAAATATTTTGATTATTCTACTTCCTTGTGTCCAAACCATAGCTTTGATATCAACTAATGGTTATATTCCCTTTTTCAGATTTACCAAATACAATTGTTCTTATAATTTGGTCATTCTAATCTTGGATAAAGTTCTATAAAAAAAAACATGTTGTAATTCCTCTAAAGACTGCCCATCTATGATCAAGTTTTTTCTTGTCCGTTTATCTGTCTTTCTGTTCGCAAAAAAATAATTTTGCTCCTAACTTTTGACTGGTGAGGTTTTGACTTTCATATATATTTCACAGTTGTATTCCTTGTGATAAGATTTTGTTTTGTATAACAACAATGCTCATGACTTAATAGCTAAATGTTGATTGACTTGAGTTTATCGATTTATATTAAAATAAAATAATCGGCTAATTTTATCTTGTTGGTGTTTTTTTACTACTTTGGAGGGGGGGGGGGCGCAGATACATGTATTGAACTTGTTTTCGAGTCAAATTCATGAACTGGGACACCAGCGTAATAAAATAAAATTACTGGTAAAGAAATGTAACGTTATAAACCAAGATAAAACTTAATTTCTATTATCTTACTTGTTTTCCTATAAGGTTTGTTGTCTATGATGTAAATGTCATTATGTGGATGGAGACCTATACAGGATCTCACGATGTCAGGTCTCAATGAGTATCTCCAGAGCCACCTCACGTGATCTACACTGTCCTGTGATCTTCCTCTGTAATGTACAGCCTCCCTTTCTCTTAGATCCGTTAATAATTTTGCTTTTTTATCTTCACTGTCCTTTAGGATATTTTTTGAAACATTCACTGTAATATAAAAATATTCTGTTTTAATTTATCATTTGTACAAAAAAGATAAACCTAGACATAGTTATAATAGGTAAAACAATATAAAGATACATATATATCTAATCATAAACAAAATGAAATAAAAAGACCGTTCATTTTTATTTTTTAAAAAAATGATACATATTATATGGATGTATGCTTTGTAGCATCAATGTAAGCTTTACTGATCAAATAAAATCATTTATGAGTCATGTTCTGAAAATTTAATTAAATGTAATGCTGACTTTCTCATATTTAAATATACCAATCTCCAGAAATCAATCTCCAGACGATTTTTCAAAATTCGAAAAATTATTAAATTTCTTTACACTGACTTACATATCTGGTATATCTCATTATATATATGCGTGTCCTGCATGGTGACGTGAGTCAGTATGTTCATCTGTAGACGGAGTATCAGTAAGCGATCACAGCCAAAACCAATGACACACTTCTCTCCTGGTTTTCTGTTGTATTTGTCTGATCTCAGGTACACACTGGCTGTGTCATAACTACTGTAATAGAATGGTATATAAATGTTTATTGATGCTATCCTATACATTGTCTCATCCTTTGTGTCCTCTGTCGTTATCTTCCAGCCACTCTGTGTCTGATCTCAGAACCAGAAAACAAAATAAAGGTAATCACGTGACTTCAGCATTATCTGTTCATAAGGCCCATTTTGTTGAAATTACTTCTTTGTGAATATTATGTTTCTTATGTGTTTTTTTCTAAATCACTCGTGTTTTTTTTCGGTATAATATCAGAATTTATTAAAATTACTTTTTTACAGCAAAAAAATAGTAAACTTGTTCATTATTAGAAAATATTAATATAAATCTTGATGCTTTCACATATATGAATTTGTGACCTACAGCCATTTTCTAAATTCTGTGTCAGTGAAGTCTAGGAGTTTTACTCATAGATTTATGAAGACGTACATGTAGATTATGTAAATATAGCTTTAAATAACCACTGCAATAATTAATATCAAATATCAACTACATGTAAGTAGACAGAAACAATTTTAGTTTTTCACAAATTACACAACCAGTTGCGGAGGGTATATCATCATGTCAGTTGTGTGAGTGTGTCTGAACTCAAGATCTAAAAACCTTTGTAAGTTTACAACTTGTGTGGCAGTAAAAAAGAACAAAGCCTATTCATTTTTAAGTTCATTAATGAAATATTTCTTCAGATAGCGTTTTTAGAAACCCTGACATTTTATGTACAAGTTGACAATAATCATTTTGCTAGGAAATCAGTTTAAGAGCCAGTTTTAAAGTTTACAAGTTACAGCTTTTCAAAAAGCTTGCCTAATGCCATCAATATCTATAGAACCTATAGGTATGAAAACTTATAAAAGTTTACATGGTGGGTTATAAATTAATTATGAAATGTTTATATATTCATTTTATGTTGTTTTCATTGAGTGGGAAAAGAACACCTTTTATATAAAACTTATATATTGTTTGTATCTCAAATAAAAAAAAATGTTTTGGGTATGCTGCTTTGCAAAAAACAATACCCGGTATTCATTTTATGTAGTCTGATAAGGTTGGGTCTTTTATATAAAACTTATATATTGGTTGGCTCAAATAAAAAAAAATGTATGTACATGCTAAAAATCAATATCAGGGCTACGGAGGAAAACTATATAGTGCTTTAGCAGTCCCAGAAAGCAGTCCTCGGGATTGCTCTTGGACTGCTTTGTGTCAGGTTGGGTCTGGTCGGTAATGTAGGCCAAAATGATCTCAACATCAGGGCACGGAGGGCTACCAACAACAATTGTAAGGAATGTTTTTTACGTTAATTGTGGAAAGAGTAAAAGAATACATGTATGTAACGAACGCACGATTAGCTATATTTTGAAATGTCAGCTTAAAAAACAGGAGAGAAATAAATCGAGAATCAGCGCACTTTTTTGTGTACAATAAATATATAGTTTTTTTAATAAGTGGCACTGTAGCTCTCCGGTCTGTCAATTACTCGGTAACATTTTTCGGAGAGCTACAGTTCTGCAGCTATTAAAGTGTCTGCTCTAGAGTCGAGAAGTTAGGAGCTGATCCGTACTTGGGTTCGAATCCACTGCAGGACCTTCGGATGAGATAGTAAAAACCGAGGCCCCATATTCGACCTTCGGATGAGATAGTAAAAACCGAGGCCCCATATTCGAATCTATTGCGGGACGTGTAGATGGTAAACCGAGATACCATCTCGCAGAAGTGTTGGCACGAAAAAGATCCCTCGCTGCTCAATGACCCTGTTTGAAGCCTAACTTGTCTGCTAATGAGACAGGCCTTACCATGCTTCATTAATTTTAAAAGACAAGTTTTATTAAAACCACCGAAACACTTTTAAATTTTAAATAAGCCATGGTATATTTAATTCACGAAATGGTTCAAGAGTGTAGGACTCTAATAAACTAACGGCATAAGGTTGATACATCGTTGTTATTACCCTGTGGTCGCATAATGTGGACAACAAATGCTTGAAAATCACAAACTCGGCCGTTCTGATAAAAAACGGATTTTGATGAAATTGTATTTTGTAAAAGTTGATAAACATAAAGAAATCTTTGAAGAATCTTAGCAAAAAACAAGATGTGTTTTTGAAACACTGATGCCCCCGTATGGCAATATAGCAAAGATTAAACTTTTCTTAAATGCAAATTTAATTAATTGGTACCAAAAGTAGGGTATTCTCACTGGAAAACAATTGTGAAATTTGAAAGTAAGCAAATGTTAATGTTTTTTAATAAGTACAAAAATCTCCAAGGTCAAAAGGTCAATGTAATTAGTATCAAATGAAAGGTCTTTCCACATAAAATACTTATGTAGAGGATGACACCCCTAGCTCTAACCATTCAGAAGTTATGGCCATCGTTCAATTTTTTAAAAAGTAGGTCAAACTCCAAGGTCAAGGTTAAAGGGTAAAAGTTCTTGTTATGAAAAGAAAGAACTTGTCATAAGGATCAAATATGTCAAGTTTGAAAGTACTAGTACTAACTCTTTGAAAGTTATGGTTAAGGTTTCCTTTTTTAAAGTAAGTCAATCTCAAAGGTCAAGGTCAAAGGGTCAAAGTTCTTGGTATTCAATGAAGGGTCTTCTCACAAGGATTACATATATGAAGTATGAAAGCCTTATCTCTTACCGTTCAAAAGTAATGGCCAAGGTTAAAGTTTTTTTACAAGTATTGAAATCTACAAGGTCAAAGGATCAAGGTTGTTGCTATCCAATGAAAGATCTTTTAACACACATTACATATTTGAAGTATAAATGTCCTGGTATCTACTGTTCAAAAGATATGGCCAAAGTAAAAGTCTAAAATTTTCATGTAAAAGTGGGTCAAACTCCAAGGTCAATGTCAAAAGGTCAAATTTGGTGGTACCCAAAGAAAAGTCTTGTCACAAGAAATATACATATGAAATATGAAAGTCACAGCTCCACTAAATCAAAAGTTATGGGCAAGGTTAAAGTTTTTGCGGACAGACAAACAGCTAGACAGACAGAGATAGACAGACGGACGGACACGACAAAAATTATATACCCCCGAAACTTCGTTTACGGGGGCATAAAGAACTATTTAGTCGGCGCATTTTAACTGGGTCAGTCGCGTTAAGGGAAACAAACGTATTTTTTATTTTAGTCTTATTTATGTAGTTTTCTTAATTCTAAAGGTATTATTCTATGAATTTCAAAAAGTATTTTCAAAGTTGGCGTCAGAAAAAAAAAAATTTACCAACAATGTACCTACCTACCCAACTTGAGAATTTAGGGTCGGGTTAGGGGAAACAAATATATCTTTAATGATGGCCTAATTGATTAATGCTTGAAAGCATGACTATATGTAAAAGATTACATAAATTAGATTCAACTGCATACAGCATAGGCTTTGAGGAAGACAGCTGAAAATATGATAATTATAGGAAATTGGGAATCGTAACGGTTATGACTGACATAAAAAGATATGTTTTATAGTTTCTTGGATATGTCAGAGCATCAAAGATTGTTGGAAACGGATAAATAAAGCTCTATATGCTTAAATGATCTAACAAACTTGACGGTGATATATGAATGGCGACAGGCGCGGATTCAGGAAGTTTCTCCCAGGTATGAGGGATCCACATCAAAAATATTTGTACGAGCAAAAAATTTAGTTATAAAATTTCTAAGTCCTGAAATGTGAGAGGACACTTTTATAAGTCTATACTATGTTTTTGTAGGAGGAAACCCCCTGGAGTGGGGGGGGATCAAATGTATACTTGGCCAGTACATCCTCTTAAGAGGTTTTTGTTAGTTTCGTTTTCATTACTTTAAATGATGTAACTTCTAACTCACTTTACAATATCACCGATATGTTTTTTTCCAAAGCTCGACCAGGATTCCGACAAAAAGAACATACTTTATATAATTCATGCAGTTTTCATTTCCATTCAATAGAATACTCCAGGAAAAGGGCGCAAAAATTTTCACGTGACATTTTGGCTGGAAATGATTGTGTCACCCCTTACCTAGAAGACAAATGGACTTATCCAGTAGTATAGAAACTCAGAAAAAAGGTCAAACGGACCTGTCCGTATAAGAACTCGCTAAAGATATTAAATATATAAATATATCAATGTATTGTTTCAGCAATATGGTTATTTTTATGCTAACTGTTGTTGCTGAAACGCATGTACCAAAATCCGATGATAATCAGCATGCACATATTTGTGCTGGCTAACTGTGACCTCTTAGCTTCGCACCTAGGAAATATTGATCCTTAGCAGTGCCTTGCGCCGTGACGTCAGGCAAAAAGGCGTGTCGAGTCTGGGCAAACCAGATTAAAAGAATTTAATGAACGTCGCGGTTTTATTACCAAATTCCAACAGGTATATGTCAAAGGTTTGTGATTTCTCGAACTCCACACAATTGGAGTTCGAGAAATCACAAGCCCTTGGCATTGTGAGGATGTTAGGTAGGTAAATAATTAAAATTACTAAAACTTATACATATAGCATACATGATATGTATCTGCTAGGTATAGGGGAAACTGCCCAATTACGTATGCATATTATGCCCCCCCCCCCTTCCCACTAAAATGCTATGCAATTAGATTTTTGTTGAAAATAGACATCCCCCACCCTCCATAATTTTGTTAAAAATAAATAGTGCTGAAAAATAATTTTATATCTTATATTAAACTTTTCTACTCCAAATTAGGTATCCATGTTATGCCCCCCCCCCCCCTTAACCACGACGCTATGCACTTTGCATTTTGTAAAAAATGGATAACAACACCCCACTAATAATTTTGTCAAAAGTAAGGGAGGAGTTGATCCTAATGTTGCGGGTTTGAATCCCTTTTGGGACATGGAGACTGGTCCTTTGAGTGACACCGTGTAAACCAAGGGCCCATGTCTCAATTCCTCATCATTTTGTTTTGATTAACTGCTTAACAACCTTTATAGAAGCGGCATCTTTGCTTATATAGCCTAGAAGCAATAATTCTGAATGTTCATGACACATTGTTTAATTCAGATCTATTAAACTAGTTCCTATCTTTTGTTGGATTAACTGGATTTCCCGCTAGTGTGAA